ACCCGCGGCCTTGGTGTTATCAGCACCGCACTCTACCGAGTGAGCCACGGGCCAGCCTGGGAGCTAAGTTTCTAATACATAAAACTTGGGAGATAAAATTCAAGCTTCAGGGAGTTGTGAGGGTACATAAATCAATCCACTGCATTCCACCCTGAACCCCCAAAACTCATGTCTATTTCACATACAAATACACTCATTTCATCCCCAAAGCCTTAACTTGTTTCAACTCAGAAGTCCAGAGTTCAAAGTCCCATCTGTGAAATGAAAACAAATGATCTACTTTGAAGATACAATGGTGGGACAAACATAAGGTACGTATTCCCATTCCAAAAGGGAGAAATAGACCAAAAGAAAGGGGTAACAGGTCCCAAGTAAGTCAGAAACCCAGCAGGACGGGCATTAAATCTCAAAGCTAGTGCATCAGGTACCTTGACTCCATGTTTGACCTCCTCTGCATGCTGGTGTGGGGGTTGGGTCCCCAAGTCCTTGGGCAGCTGCGCTCCTGTGGCTTCCCAGGCTGTCATTCCACTCCGGTAGCTTGACAGGTCTGAGGTCTCTGTGGTGGTCCCACTCTCACAGCTCCACTAGCCATGNGGGAGAAATAGACCAAAAGAAAGGGGTAACAGGTCCCAAGTAAGTCAGAAACCCAGCAGGATGGGCATTAAATCTCAAAGCTGGTGTATCAGGTACCTTGACTCCATGTTCGACCTCCTCTGCATGCTGGTGTGGGGGTTGGGTCCCCAAGTCCTTGGGCAGCTGTGCTCCTATGGCTTCCCAGGCTGTCGTTCCACTTCGGTAGCTTGACAGGTCTCAGGTCTCTGTGGTGGTCCCACTCTCACAGCTCTACTAGCCATGGCACTGATGGGGTTTCTCTGCTGCAATTCTGACCCCACATTTCCACTTGGCATTGCTCTAGTGAAGGTTCTATGTGGTGACTCTGCCCCTCGAACAGATCTCTTCCTGTGCCCCCAGACTTTTCCATCCATCCTCTGAAATTGTGGTGGAGGCTCCCAAGCCTCCCCAGCTCTGGCATTCTGTGAGGCTGCCGACCTAACACCATGTGGATGCCACCAAGGCTTCCAGCTTGTATTTTCCAAAGCTGCACATCTAGCCACACCTGGGGCCAATTTACCTAGAGCTGGAGCAGCCAAAGCAGTCAGGGTGCTGGTGCTGGAAGCAGCATACTGAGGTGTCCCTGGGTAGCGAGCCTGCAGAGGGTGCCTCAGGCCTGTTCTCCAAAACCATNGACCCCACATTTCCACTTGGCATTGCTCTAGTGAAGGTTCTATGTGGTGACTCTGCCCCTCAAACAGATCTCTTCCTGGGCCCCCAGACTTTTCCATCCACCCTCTGAAATTGTGGTGGAGGCTCCCAAGCCTGCACAACTCTGGCATTCTGTGAGGCTGCCGACCTAACACCATGTGGATGCCACCAAGGCTTCCAGCTTGTATTTTCCAAAGCTGCATGTCTAGCCACACCTGGGGCCAATTTACCTAGAGCTGGAGCAGCCAAAGCAGCCAGGGTGCTGGTGCTGGAAGCAGCAT